AAGTGGGTCCGAAAAATTCCCGATACGATTACAAGCTGGGTGCTGACGGCGTTCTCACTGCATCCCGAAAAGGGCTTGGGCGTGACCAGCGACCAGCTGAAAATTAAGACCTTCCAGCCATTCTTTGTGTCCGTGCGTCTACCATACTCAGTGAAGCGCGGCGAGGTGATCAATGTGCCCGCTCTGGTGTTCAACTACCTGCCCAAGCAGCTGGACGTGGAGGTGACTCTGAGCAACGAGGACAATGAGTACGACTTTGTGGATGTCTCCAACGAGGTCCTCGGCGAGCAGAAGCGCACACAGACGGTGCGCGTGGGCGCCAATTCCGCAGCCGGCGCATCCTTCCTTCTGCGTCCGAAAATCATTGGCAGCATTCTGCTCAAATTCACGGCCATTTCTCCTCTCGCCGGAGATGCGGTGCACAAGACCCTTAAGGTAGTGCCCGAAGGTGTGACGCAATATAAGAACCGTGCATTCTTCGTCAACTTGAAGGATGTGCACGAGTTCAAGGACAGCTTTGAATTGGATCTACCGGAGGAAATTGTACCAGACTCGCAGCATGTCGAATTCGGTTTGGTTGGCGATCTCCTTGGCCCAGTCATCAAGAACCTAGAACGCTTGCTGCACTTGCCCAGCGGCTGCGCCGAACAGACAATGTCCAAGCTTGTGCCCAACTATTTGGTCTATGATTATCTGAAGTACATGAAGAAGTTAACTCCAGAGCTGGAGCATCGCATAAAGCGCAATCTGGAGCAGGGATACCAGAATATGTTCCACTACCGTCACAACGATGGCAGCTATAGCTCCTTTGGACCAGGCAAGTGGCGTGAGGAGGATCCAGAGCGCAACGGTTCCACCTGGCTGACGGCCTATGTACTGCGTTCATTCAGCCAGATTAGGGATTTAATAAAACTGGACGAGAAAAAACTGGAGAGTGGATATGAGTTTCTACTCAGCCGCCAGGCTGACAACGGAAGCTTCACGGAAAATGGCGAATATTTCTACGGCTCGCAGCGTTCGGCCCTCACGATAACCGCCAACGTACTTCTGGCTCTACTTGAGCAACAAAACCCTAATCAAACGGCCATTGATAAGGCCGTAGCCTATCTGACTGCCAACTCAAATGACAAGGAAGATCTATTGCCCAGGGCCATCGCCACCTACGCTTTGCAGAGGGCCAAGTCTCCAGATGCCGCCAAGCATGTGGCTG